CTCACGAGGTGACGTATCGAGCGACGAGTATTTGCTTGAAAAGGACCCTTCTCAATCTGCATATTCTCAATTGCGCTTTCGAATTTTACGACATATCCGCTAATGTTTAAAAAAAGCCATTGAAATTCTCTGATTAACTAAATTCTCGGTGTTTTTTTTTTTTTTTTGTATGTGTAACTTGTGACTTGTAACTTGTAACTTGTAACTTGTAACTTGTACCGCCCACGTTTTTCCACTAAATACACGATATTACTTAGAAAATGACTTGAGTTGCCTAACTGCCACTGCACATCCTGCTAAATTCCCATATCTCGTATTAGCTTTATTGATTTTGCATTAGGTGAACACGACAACCGCTGTCTTTAAAAACAGCGGGATGCTTCACGTGGAAGGCGGATGGCCCCGAGACGTTAACAAGGACGACCAAGAACAAACGATTCGTTATCGCCGAAAAATTGAAAAAGATGAATTATACGTTCACACTCTGCTTCAACTTTTGCCGGTAAACATACCATACGTGGCCACTCCTATTCTTCCTCGTACCATACTATTCCAGATAATCCTCGTCGTCTCTGTGCGTCTATCTGTACGTCTAAGGCTCGAGTCAATTTAAATTAATTCATCGATTATCCATCGATCGTTTAAATCTATCGATAAAAGATCGCTCTTTAGTAAGGATAAGCTCTGGAACGATAGCCCCTTACACTGGCGATTAATCAATATTTGGTTTTTTTTTTTTTTTTTTTTTTTTTTTTTTTTTTACGAGGAACGATAATCGACAAACGCGCGCGTCAGGCAATTTTTGAAAAACAAAAAGATACATTACCAAGGACCGACGCTCCTCCATCAAAGGCACAGCCACATCCTTAACCAATTTCAGCAAATGGAGCACTGCGTACTGCAAAACAACGGCTGCAACATCTACCAGCAGTACTTCGAGGACACGGATGTGACAGACCTCGTGGAGCGGACCTTCTGCCGCACGCTGAACGTGTACCGGGACCCGCTGCCGGTGAAGCGTCCGATCTCCCACATCTCCTGGTCACCGGATCACGGGAGTAAGCTAGCCGTCAGCTACTCTAGCACCGACTTCAAGAAGCTCGTCGATTACAGTCCCATATCCTACATTTGGAACATCGGTGGGTATCGACGGATTTGGAGGGTTCGATGCCCGAGTCACGTGACTTCAGCCCTCGGGCGGCTCGGATGTCAGACGCGGGCATTTATTCCCTTCGCAAACTCATGCAAATGTCCAGCCAAGTTATGGAAATAAAGCGATTTAAATGCTACGACGAGGTTGCGGCAATCGGGCGTGGATGGATCGATGGCATTCTGGATGATTGTGTAGGAGACTACGCCATCTATGATAAGATTACCGCGTCGTAATTCTAATCACCAGCGGATGGAACAACGTCTTGCAAATTTTACAATGAGAATTTTTTGCAGGCAGCATCGATCTTCTCACCTCGGCTCGGCTAGACAATTGCACCTTATGTAATTTATCGTTCGCCTTAATATCGAAGCAATTTTTTTCATTTTACTCGACCACCTCACCGATCCTTTCCTTCTGTCAATCATTCACGTGGACAATATTCTACAGGGCTTGTCTGAATATTGCAATTATTATATGCAATTCAATTTTACATACATGAAATAATAAAGAATAAAAGAATGAAAGAAAAAATTCGACTAAAGTAAAGAGGCGCATTCAATAATCCTTCGAGTTTCATTGACGTGGATTATAATATTAAAACTGTCAAATTTCAATTTGTTCATTAAAGAAATTCCTGTTTTTTCGTTTCAATTTTGGTTTTGCTTATTTTTGGTTTTTTTTTTTTTTGCTTTGTTTTTTTTTTCTGAAAGAAGTACACGCGTGAGAGATGAAGCACTCACATCTTTACATCTTTAGAATAATAATGAGATTTGATGATCGATAATTGCTTTCTAGAGTTACAGAGTTCCGGTACAATTTTATAATAAGGTAATATTCGTATTAGTATGGAGAATTAATTATATTATTATTATTATTATTATTATTATTATTATTATCATTATTTATTTATTTATTTATTTATTTATTTTTCTTTTTTAATTCAATGCATTTAATAATTAACCATTGCTCTGAAGGGATTTATTCATTCGAATGATGCTCATCGGTGGCAAGATAATTTTTAATTACTTTCTCTTTTTAATTAATTTAGTGCAACAAATGCAATGAACAATGTGAATAATCGAAAGATTGAAAAAAATGCCGATTAAAATGTAATGGCGAACGATTTACATTATTTTAACGGCTTTGCTAAGTTTATATTAGAATTGCAGAAAAGTATGAATTGAAGGGAAAATGATGACAATCATGAGGATTACGATGATCACGGCCTCTCGATTATGAAAATTACAAATAATATAATATCCGATGAATACAAATATCACCCATCCCGACTACTGAATTTCCATCCTTCCATCCAGATAATCCCAACAAGCCACTTCTTACGCTCGAGCCGTTCTGTCCCATGCTGGTGCTCGAATACAACCCCAAAGACAGCAACATCCTCGCGAGTGGCCTACTAACCGGTCAGGTCGCCATCTGGGACATCCGAAAGAGCGTGACGCCGGTGTCGATGAGCCCCGAAGAGATCAGCCATAGGGATCCTTGCAGCAAGGTTCTTTGGATAAACTCCAAGACCGGCACGGAGTTCTTCAGCGCCTCCAGGGATGGCCAGGTTCGCATTTCATCCTCGTCGTGAGTTCTCGGCCCTTCCGATCAATTCGCGTTCCCTTCAAACTAGAGCCATGAAACAGATTCCCATAATCTGTCTCGTTCGCTCACATTGTCCCCGGATGGTAGCCTAATTGTACAAGCCGCTAATTGACCGATCTGCTTATCCCCGCAACCCCCATCCTCTCCATCGACACCACCACCATCACCTCCCTCCAAATCCTCCTCTCCCTGAATCGTCAACATTTAGATCAAGTGGTGGGACACGAGGAAGTTGAAAGTGCCCCTGGAGACGCTCGTGATTGACTTGGAGAAGCCGGACGAGCAGGATCTCGACCGAGCGATCGGCGTCTCGGCTCTGCAGTTCGAAACGTCCGTCGGCACACGATTCATGTGCGGCCTGGAAAATGGTGAGTCTGTGTTTATTGTTCATTGGGGGCACTGCACTACGTCCCCCCAGCGGATGCACGCATGAAAAGATACGTGCGCGAGCCATTCTCTCCGCTAGCTCGTCCGTCGTCTCCGTGACTAATTGCTCGCGAGCGTGTCTGTCTCTACGTAACTTTAAAATTCCGATGATTTAATGACGCAGGCGTTGTGATATCCGGGAACCGGAAGGGAAAGCTGGCCTCGGAGAAGATTGCGCAAAGGTACAAGGCGCAATACGGTGCGGTACTGAGCGTCGAAAGGAATCCTACTTTCCTCAAAAACTTTTTATCGGTTGGCGACTGGACTGCGCGAATTTGGTCGGAAGACTGTAGAGAGGGTAGCATCATATGGACACCGTAAGTACCATCAAATCTGCCATTGGTCCATCATGGCATTGCATGGGCTTGGGCATATCGAGCGAGGCTGCGATAACGTATAATGCTACCGCGGATAATGCACGGATAGTACTTTTTATTATTTCGTAGGGGCGCTGAACACATTGCTTTTGATGTATCGATGTCCGTTAATGGGAAAGCGATGGAAAAGCTCCCCTACGATGAATTAGAATGTGCATGGAGGATTTTATCTCCTCATAAGGCAGCTCCTCATAAGCTCATCCTAATGTTGATTTATCGCTTTTGCCAAACAACACTTCCTTCTCCTTGATAATGCCATAATAGACATAAAGGGTGGAAGGGGATGGGGAGGGGGGAGGGGGAGGGGGGAGGTAGGGGAGAAAAAGAATAGAGGAAAATAAAAAAAGCGTTGACAAAGTCTTTAACCGACAAAACATTTTCGGCGCAGAAATTACGGTGTGCTTCTGACCTGTGGTGTATGGAGCTCGAAAAAGTACTCCGTCTTTTTCCTCTCGAAGATCGACGGCACCTTGGACGTCTGGGATCTGCTCGTCCAGCAGGATATGCCGGTCTTGAGCGTGAAGGTGTTACCTCGTCCCATTGTCACGTTTCCTCCTTCCCGTTCATCTTTTCCATTTCATCTTTGCCCATTCGTGACTTACGCAGGTTTGCGACGAGGCGCTGACTTGCATGAAGACGCACGAGGGTCCATTACTCGCGGTTGGCAGTCGCAACGGCTCCGTTTACATGCTCGAATTCTCGAAAAGCCTCATCCACAATTACAAGAACGACAAGATCCTACTGACCGGCGTGAGTAGGCTCTTTTACTCCAGAACGCGACTCTATTATTTTCTTGCATTAGTTACCTCTTAAGCCGATTTCGCCAATCAACATGATTGGTCGATCCTATGTGTCGTGGATAACGAGCGAGAGGTCCAATACGTCATTGCCAACGTCTCTGTACCTTCGTTGTCTACGATTATACAACGATTATAGCACGCGTTGATAATAGTAAGTCATCGTTATTATGTCAGTATTATTAATCGAGGGCGTACGATGTTTCATGTGGCGCAGCTCTTCGACAGAGAGAGTAGAAGGGAGAAGGTTATCGAGGCGAAGAATCGGGAGTATCGGCTCAAGTTGAAGACTATACGCCAGGAGTCGGATGTAGAACCGGTTGTCAAGAGGCCCATTGGCGATCTCAAGGATCCCGTCATTCTCCAATGCGAAAAAGATTACCAGCTAATAATCAATGATGTAAATAGCATTTTATTCGTTTTATCGACGGCCGGCGAATGTCTTTTCAACTCTCGTCGACCCTTTCAATCGGCCCGAGTAACCCAGAAAAAAATTCGACTTTTTCAGGAATTAGCGAGGCAAACAGCCGTGCAACAGGAAGAGGCCTGTCTCAGTCCACTGGACACTTAAGCCAGCCAGGCGAGATGTCGACGAGCACAAGAAGAAATTAGTTAATTTTTAAAATAACTGACATCGAGTATTGTACATTGTTTCACAGAGATTTTACAATTGTACGAAATGTAAAGGAGAAGTCTTGATATAATAAATCACATACACCCAATTACTCTCTATCTGCCGACAAAAAGACCAAACCAAAACAAAAAACCAAAAAAAAATAAAAAAAAGAACCAAAAAAAAAAAAAAACAAACATAAACAAAAAGCAAAAAAAAAAAGCAATAAGAGCGAGAAAGACGAGGTAAAGCGCCGGCGCCTAGGTGGCCCGATAGAACTTCAAGATTTTAGCGCGGATCTAAAAACTTCTAAAAAGCCTTCTATTATTTATCGCATGTGATCACGGCATCGTAAATAAGAATCGCAGTGCGATCGATGCCGTATCCGTCGTCTCTCAAAAAGCCCGCGCTTACCTCGTCGGTCGACAGATTGATCGCCATTCGCCCGGTGGATGAGACACGTGGATGAGACGCGGGGAAAACAGAGACGGTTGGCCCTTTCTAGGTCATCGATTTACCATTAATTGCCGCCACCAGTCTCGTTCCGGCTAAGGCATATTTGCAGTAGGCAAGTCGCCGATCATGTTGATCAGTCGGCGATCATGCAAATTAGCCAGCGCCGGGCAAAAAATCCCGAGGACGACACACGAGCCGAGGCCAGCGTAGCGGAAGGGTCGGGGTACACCCCCACCCCCCATCCCCCAACGGCTCGATCGTGGCCCTTCGTTAGGGGCGGTGATGGTAGGGGAGTGCAGTTACGAAGCGAGCCGCCGTAGCCGGTGGAGCTCGCGCTTGGATCGATCGATAGGCCTCGTGGTGACTCGGCGCAGGCAGCGGGTGCCACGTCCGGCCGAGCACCTGCCGCAGACACTCCGTTGGCAACGCGAGGGAAACACTTGGATGCTAGGTGTGCTCGTGGCTCTTTCGGGTTATTCGGGTAATTCCCGAACGTGTCGAATCCACGCTCTTACCCGTACGCTCTTACCGGTGCAGCGAAGCTCGGCGCGCGTCCTCAGCGGCTGGGACGTCGTTTCCTCGTGCTTGTTCGGCTTGTGCGCCGTAGATCGTTTACGGTCGATCGATAGGCTCGATGGCCGATTACGCGGTGGCGTCGGTAAGCCAAAGTTTCGAGTGTGCGTGCCCGTGTTGAATCGTGGAGTTAGGAAGAGGAGGAGGAGGAGGAGGAGGAGGAGGAGGAGGAGGAGGAGGAGGAGGAGGAGGAGGAGGAGGAGGAGGAGGAGGAGGAGGAGGAGGAGGAGGAGGAGGAGGTGGAGGAGAAGAAGACAAAGTCCTGGCTGAGATGGTAGCTAGCAGGTGGTAGGATTCATACGCGCAAACGCTCCTTTTCCATCGAATAAGAATGCTGGTGGCGGCGTCATTTGGACGTGACACGCTCGCTCGGCCGATTGTTGGGCGACGCGTTCGGCGAGTTTCGGATCCGCCAGGGATCGATAAATGCCGCTTGTAAACATGGATCGACAGCAAAATCGATCCAAGGAGTCGAGATCGCGAGCCTCGAGGAAGGGAATATGGAGGAGGGCTGGTGCCGCGGCGGGCTCGGACGAGTCGTCAGCCACCGATGAGAAATCGGACGAAGAGTTGGATAATACGGGCTCTCGAATACGGCTGTTCCGAGAAAAGAGAAAGGGCGCCAAGTCATCGACGAAGAGTCGTCGTCACGAGGAGGCGGAAGTGTCGAGGGAACCGGCGAAAGCGTCCCAGCCGCCGAGGGAGTCGAGCATCGCTCAGTCGATTAAGAAACGTTTCGCCTTCTTCCGACGATCGGAGAACGTTAAGTCGACGGAGGACGTCGAGGCGGTCATAATCGATAATGACGAAGCTGGTGAGCTGGTTAATCGAGTGGTCGATGTGGTCGTGGACGTGCATCGGGAGAATGGAGAGAGAAGGAAAGAGATGGAGGATAAGGGACGAATCGGCGATGGCTCGAGCGATTCGTCCTCCAGTAGGAAGAGTCTCGTGTTAAAGTCATTGGACCTGATAGAGGAGTTTCACGAGGAGCGGATCGCGGGTACGGAATCAGCGAACAGTCGACTGTCGGGGGAGTCGGAGGCGGAGAGTGAAGTCGATGTGCCAACGAAGGGGGAGAGCGAGGGGTCGCTCGAGGAGCCGACGAGCGACGTTCTGCCAATGTCCGGGGCCGAGTCAACGCGTCGACGAAGACGCTGGGACAAGTCCGAGATCGCTGCCGGTGATCTCGTGGAGGACCTGAAGAAGCCGCGCAGGCGGCAATGGGTCATGGATGCCACGGGTACGGAGTCGCGCAAAAATGTCGGAGGCAGAAAAGATCTCGTGTCCAAGCGATCGACCACCGTCGTGACCACGACGCCAAGATCAGCCAAGTAAGCCGAGTTTGTTTGAAACTTTTATGTTGTGCATATATATATATATATATATATATATATATATATACGTTTATGTAGAAACTAGTATCTGATAATCCAAGTATTGTTATTAATAAAAATCGATTGCGCTTTCTTATACTTTTAATGCGAGCGGCCCGCATTTATGGACTGAGCTTTACTTAGGTTGACGTATAACTACGGCATTGGACTGCTTGCTATTTTATTTATTTGCATGCAAAATATTCTCTCTCCTAAATTCAACCTGACTTTTGTCGGTTAATTTTACGATGAAAGCTGTGATAGTGCGTTAGACTCGATTGCGAGGTAAAATATTTAACGATTGATCGTTCTTTTGTGGTTCCGATAAGAAATCTAGATTAAATTAACGAGGGTGACTGGCCAATTCATTAGAAGGATTAAAGTGTCATTGATTTTTGTGAAGGCTGCTCCTCGATTTAATTGTATGAATTTATCAAGATGGTTAATATGACAGAGCGATAGGAAACTTCTTATACCGTGATAACGGCAAGACTATATACTAATGAATCTTAATAGCTTATCGATCGACTGATTATACGCATATTTTATTTCCACGTTTCATTGAATTTTATTAGGAGTTAATAATGTTGCGAAATAATTTGGACGCAAATAAAAATTGACTGACAAGAGCCGATAAGGCAGTTCTCAATGTTTACATTAGCGAAGCATGAAAAATGGTTGTGTAATTGTGTATTATTCGAGCGTTGAATAACGGTGATAGTGCTTGCGCGCGCAGCTTTTAACGATATATTTACTAAAATTGATAAACAGTCGTCGTGTATAATGAATAGTAAACCATTGGGAAGAGTTTGGATGCCCAAAGCAGCGCCCAGATCAAAAAGCAAACGGAGAGATCATCGTCAAGCATTCGACAACGAGGTTTTCTCATACGATCACGACGAGGTCCTGCGAATCGAAACGATTAACGACTCCAGTCCTAAAATCAAAATCGGCAACCTTAACCTAGAGCAGATAGAGAACGAAGTGTCGACTTTGAGCAACGATGAAGATAACGCTGCGAGCGATTCAATGTCTAGAATTGAGAAAGTACAGGTAATATTTAGAAATTTGCTTCTGAGTGATGGTATTCTTAACGTATTGAAATAAAAAGAGTACGACGATATCGTGCATTCGTCTAGCCTAACGATAAACTTCCACGACGTGAGCGGCTTAATTTATAATTTATAAATGTTGGCAACAAGTCGGTTAAAATCAACATCATCCTAGATGTGCGAATGTACAAATCATTGATATTAATTTTGTTTCAGGAGCATCAGCCGCTGACTGCCGACGAAGATGACGAAATGTCCGACACGACGAGAGACGACGAATCGTCGATGGGAAGTAGCGAGTCGCTGGATTTCGTTGGGAGAAAAAGTACGGCGAGAAGACGCCCCCCGAGTGGCCAACAAAAATTGTCGGCTAACGAAAGATCCGTGGACAGAGAGGAGCCGGAGGATATTGACGAGGCGGAAGATGAGCAGGAGACGATATTGAACGTCATCGAGAAGAAATCTGTACGATCGTCTAGCTCGAGTAAAATTGAAATAATCCCGCGCAATTTTTTTGGGCGAAAATCGAGTGAGGAAACGACGATAACGACGTACGAGGACACGAGCACTGTACGTAATTCGGAATTATATTGTCCGAAGCAGGACGAATGTATTAGGACATAATAATGTAGAATGTTTATGGGCTTAGACGCAATATGTTTGCTTAGGAGTAAAAGAGCCGTTTGAGTCAGCCAGCTGTCTCAATCCGTAATAATGATAACGAAGCTCAAACTGTAGTATAGTAGTTGTCAGTTGTATCGTAGAGAGTGACAATCGATGATAGTCCTAATTGATGAAAAATGCTAAAGCAAAGGTGGCGTCGTGAAACTCAAAGTTTTTTCATTTTGGTTTTTCAGTCCCGGCGGGGATCGCGGCACTCGCGATCGAGGGGGCAGCAAGTAAAGCCAGCGGGACAGAAAAGGAGCGGCAACGCGATTGAGAGCAGCTCGCGGCTGAAATCCAAGACAACGAGCTCGTCGACACGGAACTCGACCGAGGAGTACTCGAGTAATAGAAGGAAGGCTAAGCCGAAAGCGAGGAAGCGGCACAAAAGAAAGGATAATCGACAAGAACCAGAAGGGGACAGAGACGAGGATATTAAATACACGTCAATATGGATTCATCGCTCGGATATGCTCGAGGCCGATTACGTCACGAGGCATCCAATGGTAAAGGTGCACATAGTCAGTCAAGAAACCGGCGAGTATCTAAAGTCGCGCAACAAGGAGAAAAATGCCATCGACTTCTTACAGCCGATTATAACGGGAAAATTCGACTTCAAGGAGAAGCGATCGATGCTGCCGATTTGGGATGAGGAGCTGATATTCGAACAAGATTTTCAAGATCTGCTTAGGGAGGGCAGAAGTGCCGCTCTCGTATTGTTCGAGATCGTCGATCTTCTCAATTACTCCGAAGCGAGTGTGTGCTACGATCAATTTGGTTAATACGACAATTCTTACGTGTTCCTTACAATAATAATCATAATTCGATAGGATTGGTCTGTCGTTGATTTAATGATTAAAATTAATTCGTTTCGTATGCAATATTTTCATTGGCCATTGGAGCTTGAGGGCTCACAATCATACGTTCATCTTTATTTATTAAACGCAAGCTGATTTATCGATTAATCCAAGCCACTATTGGCACGAATTTATTAATCACTGCTCTGGATTGATGACAAATGCTGAAAAATGCTTTCGTTACATCTAATCGATATAAATAATCCGACAATAATACGGCGAATATAATAAATATACTAAACAATAAATATACATAAATAATCTAAGAATTAACGCTTATAATTATAATGCTGACGTAGTAGTTACATTTGCAAATACATTTTATTCGTAGTGAATTGATGCGATTGAACGGCCATTAAATTTAATAATTTTGTAATCTAGTATTATTAATACCGACGCGCAGCATTATCATTCGTCGAACGATCGCGTAAATCCATTACATTACACTTTCGACTTAATCATCGCCACTTATTGTTTATTACACTGGCATTATTAATTCTTCTCTAATATCCTCGCAGTTTTAACGCGCAGCATCAACGAATAAATACGAATGTTGCAAAGAAATCATCAAATCCAAAATCAATCAAAAGCAAAAAACAAAACAAGCTAACAGACAAAAATCCTATCGCTACTATAGACTAAAATTAATTAATACATTGAGAGAATAATTAAAATTAATTATCAGCTAATTAAATGGCACTCGTCGTGCAATGTTAATCTCATTAAAATACCATCGAGTCTTATGACAAACAATATTTTCTCCGTCCATCTCTGCACGTCAATGTTGTTTAATTCGTAACGCAGTGTTGTCATTTTTATAGGCAGAGATGCTTGCTGGTATAAAGTGGCATGGGCTTTCTTGAGGCCAGTGGGAATCAGTGGCGTTCATCATGTTGATAAGAGGCTTCGATTACAGTTGTACAGGCCGAAAAAGAATTTTAGAAAAACCGCCGGGAATCAATGCGAGGTAAAGTATGCGAGTGAGAAATAACTTAGACGCTCTCTAGATTATCATTAAAGGCAAATATTTTCTCGTCCCTCTCAAAACGCTTTTATGTAGAATCCGGAAGGAAGCTTTAATTCCAATTTTTAACATCGATTATGATGATTTGACGATAACGTCGATTTGAGCGACAAACTCGCGCTCTCTCAAACCGCCCGCTCTCAAACACAATTCAAGAGAAAAATATCGCCTATAGGACATTCACGGAGACCCGCTCAATAATGATAATCAGGAAGGAATAACACTTGGTAAGGTCTCGCGTCGTGTCGTATCGCAATTAAACGTAGGGGAACTCTTGAATTAAACGACGTGAGAAATAATAAAAAAGAGATCAACGCTCGGTCTCGTAATCTCACATCTCAGCCTACTTTCATTTCATTTTTTTTAAGGCGATTTTTACGGCACAGTTGCGAAATTCGTAATTCACTGATGAATTCGAGGCTTACGCGAGTCTCCGATTATTCCACAGCATAGCCACGAGCGATATAAATCGCCAAGGTCGTCTCACACAATGCGAGAAAATAATTATAATGAGACAACGTCGTCCCCGTAGGTGTACAGATGGTGGAAGTCCAATAGCAGAAACAAGTATCCGAGTAGCCTGTACGTGAGCTTGAGCGGGGTGGAGCCACCGAAGCTCGAGCCCGTGTTCTACGAGCAGCCGTTGCACCTAGAGGACGTCGGTGGGTCCCGTGAGGGATCGCGAGTCCCGGAGGAGACGGAGCCGCCGCCGCCCAAATGGTCGCGCCCGGCCACGCAGACCTGTCAGATCCCCAACGAGAGCTTCGTCGAGTTCGAGGCCAGCGAGAACGGCTGCTTTCACCTGGCCTTCAGCAACGACGGCAAGTACCTGGCTTGCGTGCTCTCCGAGGAACACGATTATCCGATCCTGGTGTACAAGGTGCGAGCGCTAGCTGTTGACGAGTGTCGTGCCCGTCTCCGCGCTATCGACCATCCCCGAGTCGTCTTAGCGTTTAAGCGCGCGTGCCCCTAGATCCCCCTTTAGGGTCTCCTGGAACAACTCCTATTCATTAATTAATTAATATTAATTAAGTAATATCGCGTGGCGCTCACATCGCCACTTTACGTTTCAACGTTCACAGGTTCACGATGGGAGTATTCACGTGCGATTTCCCGGCCATAAGAGCTTCATCTATTCCTTAGGATGGGCGCGAGACGATCGTTTTCTATTGTCAGTGTCTTCCGACCGGACCGCGCGTTTCTGGAACGTACGGGATAGAATTATCGAGCATATCCAGGTAATTATCCAAACTTGCAAAATCATCAGGTAGAACAGGCTCGATTGCATCGGCCGAACCAAGTATCCGGCCCCATTATGGATTTATCGTTAAACGTGAACGTATTAGCGTATTTGGTTCGCGTTCGATATTATGACGGTGGCCATTTTGTCGTCACAGCTCTCATCGGGGCTATTAATTTTATCGCTTACAATGCCTTGGGAATTGCAATCGCAAAAATTTATTATAAAGTGCACGGTAAATTGTAACTATTGGTTAATCGTTCGGCATAGCTACATAAACTTAGTAAATGCTTGCCAACTACCAATTCTACCCTCGCTATACTCCGCTATACTCGCCTCCTTCCCATCCCTCTCCAATACCCCCGTCACATCTTCATTAACATCTTCTTCTACATTGCATTCGAGTCCCTGCCACATCCGTCTTACGTCTACTGCGGCAAATTCTCAATGGAGGTCACCGACTACATCGTCACCGGCTGTTACGACAAGGTGGCTCGCGTTTGGGCACTCTTGCCGTCCGGCGATAACGAGGGCTACGAACTTGTCCAGGAGCTCGAGATTCACGAGAGCTTCGTCAACAGCGTCTGCCTCCAAACCGAGAACGACACGTTCTTTACGGGCGACGGCCTCGGTGTGATTGTCGCCTGGTTTGCCAAGAGAAGCCGCAAGTCGCCCATTAGAAAGGAGTGGCAAATTATGCGCAAAATAAAAATTCGGGAATTAGAGGGCGTGCCAATCAACACGATTATTTTGCATCCATTGGGATCTCGGCTGCTGGTGCATTCGCGAAATAACGGACTGAGATTGATGGATTTACGTAGTGGCACGGTACTTAGGAAATTCGATGGCCTGACGAATCAAAGGTATAAATTGGCTAGTGATTTTCTATGTGAAAATAAGCGACGACGTTCTCCGCGTCAACTCTGATTGACAATCGAACCGTTTTAGCGTCATTGCCGTTATTATCGTCACCGGTGTCGTATTGTTCGCGACTGGAGTGACGCGAAAACAATGGTAAGGCTGTTGTGCCGTGTTGGTTCGATTGGCAATCACAGTGCGATTATATCGGTAAATATGTCGCTCGAATCGTACCGATGTACAATTCTTGGTTCAAACGCCTGTAAACTGTTATCCATTCGCAGAATCCAAATAACGGCCTGTATCTCACCCTGTGGCAGTCTGCTGTTTTGCGGGAGCGAGGATGCGACCTTGAGCGTGTGGAGCTTGCAGAGCGGCAAACTTTTGGCGATTTACGAGATGGGGATTGAGGGAAAAGCCGTGACCTGCGTCGATTACCATCCCAACGATCATCTACTGGCATTGGCAGTCTGGGGTGCGCCGGTGCCTGTAAAGATTATGAAATTCGATCGCGAAGCCGAGGGTAAAAGCGTAGGATTGAAGCTCACGGCTACGACGGACGACACAGTGCCCGCGAGCTTCGATTCGAAATTAAGCAGCGAGCCGACGTCTCTTAAGAACGGAGGGGGAAATTTAGAGCTAATGCCAACGAGAAGTCGGAGCTCGTCCATTAAGAGCGGCTTATTAAGGGGACAGGAGGTTAACGATGATGTTAGAGTGCGTCTGACTAGGGCTCAAATAAGGGCAAACGAGTCGAATCTCAAGGCGAAGAGCTTGACAAGGCTGAATGGGATAATCGAGAAGATCGACCGTATTCTTATGTACGCTACGACACAAAATTCACCGGATGTAGATGTGGAGTCAGCACGCGACTCGTCCATATTTACGGTCACGGGGGTGAGGGAGGCGCGTGATAAAGCAATGGAAACCATTGAGCTGGAAGAATTGAGGAGCCAAAATGAAAAGAGCAGGAGCGAACCACGAGCCTGGAGAAAGCATCGGCATAGATCGCGAAGCGCGAGGAACTCCACGTCGGCATTGCATAAAGAGATCGAAGTCACTAAAGCGCTTTCGGACAGTGCCGCTTTCAATCGTAAAGTTTCGAGATTCAGCGACGAATCGTCAAATTCAAATCGGTCCGCGCACCATAAGAAGAAGCTCGTAGTGGAGAGATTGGAGTTGGACAGGATTGACGGCGTCGAGTCGACGGATGAGTCGGGATTTAAGGATTCATTGGGCACGATTGTGGATGGGAAGGAGGAGTTTCCTAGCGAGGAGATTTTGGATATAGAATCGCTGAGAAGTGATGACACTTATGTGGTCGATAAAGTGAAGAATAACTCGGCCGAGAGCGCCGATCGACATGATCTTTCGGACGAGAGCAATGCGACGTTTATTATAGAAAGTGACATTCCAATTGCAAAACCTCGTAAGAAGTTCGGTAAAGTCGTGGTGATGTAAATTCACACCCACCATTGCCAAGCCAAATGGACATACAATTTTTTTCTTCTTTAAAAATGCAAAGCAGTATTAGTAGCGATAGTAGATAGCGTTGGTTATTTATTGACTTTGATAGTTTGGATCGATGCTAATGTAAGATCTTAGCTAACGCTCGTACACGTATCGCGTATTACCCAAGATGTACAATTGACGACGAATAGATAAATTAAAGAAACGAATATGTTAATTTTTGTTTGAAAAAAAGAATAGAGAAGAAAAGAATAGAAAAGAAAAGAAAAGAAAAGAAAGAAAAAAGAAGAAATAACAACAATAATATCATATGTATCTGTATTAAAGATTTTTTTGCCAATAATGTTACAAGACAATTGCTACAAACAACGATTTTTAAAAATCCATCATACAATTACGAAATATAAAAATCCATTGGACGGTCGCAACGGCATACGCAACGCCTTAAAAGTCATAACTTTTCACTCGCTTTTTAATAACATTAATGTCGATCGTACCATTGAGGTGCTAAAGCCATGACTGTAGCCGTTAACAATATTAGCGTTTCAACTGTTACACAGCATTGATATTGTACGCATACGAACCTACTTGGGTTTCGTGTTTACCGTTCGTTGAATAAGTGTACCAATTGAAATTATAACTTAAGCTTTCTTTCTCAATTTAATAAATATTATGAAAGTTTTATACATAACGTGCCTTCTCACATTCATTACACTAAAACTCTCCTTTCCTTGTAAGGCTGTGGATCGGCAATGGCGTACGCCGGCTCGTCATCTTCCGAAATCCATATGTCCCCAGCCTCTGCATTCTGTATCATCTTGATGACTGCCGTGCCGACATTCTCCGGCCTGAAAGTAAAAAAACAACAAAAAAAAAAAAAAAACAATTCGTACAATACCGAGCAATATTCGCGCAATTTTAATATGGATAAACGTCACCGCGTACTGTTGGATGTATTTTGAGCATTCGAAAATTTCTATCAGATACTTGTCGGAAATGAACTTGAGGGTTTCTTCTCTCAAATTGTGATGTAAAAAGCTGGATTCCGTGAGACCTGGACACAGAGCCATCACTCGAACCCCGAGATCTTCGTAATGGTCCTGGACGTGCGTACGATCACACAAAAATAATCCATAATAAGTATTACAAAGTACAAAGCTTCCCGCTTATTTCCATTTCATCATCGATTAAACTCAATCAATCGATCGCTACTTCTCCCTCACCCAATGCAATATGTAGATATTTTTGTTTTTAAAAAACTTGATGCTCTTATAATACAAATGTAACTTACCTTCAACGATTTGGTGAAGCCACATACGCCGTGCTTGGTGGCCGTGAAAATTGGGAGCGCAGCCGATGTTTTTAGACCGAATACGGAGGCTACGTTAACGATTGCTCCTCCCTTGCCATTGTGATGATATCCCATCCTGTCGATTCCAATGAGCGTGGAATTAATTACCGCTGTCTAAAAGACAAAAACAAAACAAACAAACAAACAAATAATGATAAGGTAATCATCTCGTGTAATTATTACGGACAGCAATGAATAATTGCGTCTAACGCGAGTGTACACGCCATAATCTCCATTATTTCACCCCCTTGCAATAATACCAATTAAGTAATACATAATTACGTCCATTCTATCGCAATACTCTCAATCGTAAATTATTCAATCGAACCGATGGGACGATATCATAATTGTTCTCTTGGTAAATAAATAATCACCAATTTAATCGCATCTAACGTCAACATTATGATTTGATCGAGGAGTCGTATCCTTAACTCGTGAACATTAAAATACGGTAATAATTCAACAATCGATAGATCATTGTTTAGGTATCGATTAATGTTTATTATTGACGATCGATTGTAATTTACTTACTAAATTGGTGTCGACCATGTGTTGCGTTCGGAGTTCATTGACAAGATTTACACAGTTAACGAGTATGTCGACGCTACCTTGCATTCCAACAATTTCATCGTATCGAGCTAGAAAAGAGTTAGATTTCTACGACTATTGTCTATGGTTGCATTACTATAGTCAATTATCGGATATTTTTTTAATAGAATTGGTGGCTGTCGGGGGGAGGGGGGAGGGGGT